CATGGTGAGCCGAAGGGGTATCGAGGCCAACCCCGAAAAAATCCAGGCCATCATCAACATGGAACCCCCACGCAACGTGAAGGAGGTCCAACGCTTGACGGGCCGCCTGACAGCCCTCAATCGCTTCCTATCAAAATCGGCGGAGAAGTCCTTACCCTTCTTCCTGATCATGAGAAAGACCGCCAGTTTCCAATGGACTTCAGAGTGTCAGGGGGCCTTCGAGGAACTGAAACGGTACTTATCTTCACCCCCTGTGCTCTCTAAACCCAAGGTGGGGGAGACCCTGTACCCTTACCTGGGTGTTAGCCTGGCAGCCATCAGCTCAGTACTCATCCGGGAAGAAGATAGCGTCCAGCATGCCATCTTCTATGTTAGCAAGACCCTCAGGGAAGCAGAACTCCGGTATTCCCCTGTGGAAAAACGGTGTTGGCTATCGTTTGGACTGTCAAGAAGTTGGGCCATTACTTCCAAGCTCACCCGGTCCAGGTCCTCACTCACCAACCCCTCAGCGCTTTGATGAGGAGCCCCACCAGCTCCTCCAGAAGGGTAAAATGGGCTGTCTTTCTGAGCCAGTACAACATCGACATCCGTCCTAGGCCCGCTATCAAGGGCCAAGCCCTAGCGGACTTCGTGACGGAGTGCACGGCAAGATCAGCCACGGATGAGGAGCCCTCGGCTCCCTCGGACGATTGGTGGACCCTCTACGCCGACGGCTCCTCCGCTTTCAAAGCATGTGGAGGAGGGGTGGTTCTCATCTCACCCGAAGGCTTCCGGGCCTATTATGCGACCCGCTTCTCCTTCAAGGTCTCCAACAATGAAGCCGAATACGAGGCCCTCCTCTGTGGCCTTCGGCTGGCAGCTAACATGAAAGCGCGACAGATCCACGTCAAGTGCGACTCCAAGTTAGTCGTCGACCAAATTTCCGGGGAGTACGAAGCCAAGGAAGGGAGAATGAAGCAGTACAGAGAAGCGGCCAATGAGTTGCTTAAGGTATTTGAGGCACACTCTCTTACTCAAATACCGAGGGCTCAAAACTCTGAGGCCGACATTTTATCCAAGCTCTCGGCCGACTCCCCTGAACATATCTCAAAGATTGCCAAAATCGAGGAGCTCAACCTCTCCAGCATACATGCTAGCCCCATCATGCACATACAACAAAGGCAAGAGGACTGGATCTCAGATATTGTCGCCTTCATCACCACAGGGCAACTGCCTGAGGATGAGGCCCGTGCCAAGCTAGCAAAGCTGAGGGCTCCCAGCTACACTATCGAAGACGGAAGGCTTTAAAAAAGATCATACAACGGGACATTACTTCGATGCCTTCATCAAGATGAAGCCGAAGTTGCGATGGAGGAAGTGCACAGTGGCACTTGTTCAGCTCACCAGGGACCCTTTTCCATGTCCCGAAGGCTCATAATCCAGGGTTACTTTTGGCCTACAATGGCCCGGGATTGTGCGGATCTCGCCCGAAGGTGTACCGCATGCCAACACTTCCAGAAAGCCCCCGGCAGGCCAACGGTCAACTATACCCCCATCAACACTTCCATACCCTTCGCTCGATGGGGCATAGACCTTGTGGGACCTCTGCCGAGGGGTACCTCCAACAACATGTACATGAATCATTGTCGCCATCGACTATTTCACCAAATGGGTGGAAGCTGAGCCCCTCGCCAGCATCATCGAGGCCAAGTGCCATCATTTTGTTCTCAAGAACATCCTCACAAGGTTTGGCGTCCCCCAACAAATCATCTCCGACAACGGGACTCAGTTTGAGGCAGCCCCCTTCTGTGCCCTCCTAGAGGCGTGGGGCATCAAACACACCTTCTCATCCGTTGCCTACCCTCAAGGCAACGGTCAAGTGGAAAACGCCAACCGGACCTTGCTCGAGGACCTAAAGAAGAAACTGGAGGCTGAAGGGGGTGGTTGGGTAGAAGAGCTCCACAACATCTTATGGGCCTACCGCATCACCCCTCGGCGAGCAACAGGCGAGACACTCTTCTCCGTTTGCTACGGATTTGAAGCTAAGGCCCTGTAACACCCCGGCCCCGTAGAACCCGAGGTAGTTACTTCTGATCTCTAGTACTGTCCTCACAAACCGCCACTAGCCTTTTCCACGCACTTTGTCCTCACTCGTGTGCGCCCTGAGAAACTTCCCAGGGGGTCACCCATCCCAAGACTACTCCTGTGCAAGCACGCTTAACTTTGGAGTTCTTGGCTAATGAGCTCCCTTAAAAGGAGATGCACCTTGTTGGTATGAGTAGTACTATTAATCCGTTTAAATTAAATCTCAAGTGTTATAATCACCCCCATTTAGGAACGCAACATCCTCGTTGCGCCCATAAACCAATCTCTATCAAATCCCAGAATCTTTTCCCCCGCTAAGTGTCTGCCCGATATCTAACGGGTCAACACACTGTCGCAGGGTTGCTCTGATACCACCTGTAACACCCCGGGCCCCACACGGACCCGAGATAGTTACTTCTGACCTCTAGTACTGTCCTCACAAACCGCCACTAGCCTTTTCCGCGCACTTTGTCCTCACTCGTGCGCGCCCTGGGAAACTTCTCAGGGGGTCACCCATCCCAAAACTACTCCCGTGCAAGCACGCTTAACTTTGGAGTTCTTGGTGATGAGCTCCCTTAAAAGGAGATGCATCTTGTTGGTATGAGTAGTACTATTAATCCGTTTAAATTAAATCTCAAGTGGTACAGGCCCCCACTGAGGTAACTCTTCCGACCTGAAGGATCACACAATACGATCCCGAGGTCAACGACGCCAATATGGCCCTCGACCTTCACCTTATTTCAGAACGCCGAGAGCAAGCCTTCATACGTGCGGAAAACTACCGAAGGCAAGTGAAGAGTTACATTGACGCCAAAGTCCGCTCCCGGGAATTCCAAGTGGGGGACTATGTCCTCCGAAGGAGGGAAGCTAGCCAACCAACTGAGGGAGGCAAAATTGCGCCCAAGTTTGAGGGCCCTTACATAGTGGCAGCTACCATCAAGCCTGGAACTTACAAACTCAAACGCCCTAATGGGACCGAGGTCCCTAGACACTGTAATGTACATCACTTAGTTAAATTTTATCAATAACATTAGAGCGGCCAAGCCCTCATAACTAGTGAATGTATTATTTTACGGCCCAAGGCCTCCAATTTTTGAAGAATGAAGGCATATTGAAGACACCGAGAACAAGGAACGAGACTCTTATGAGCGGCCAATCCCTCATATCAGCCCCTGGCCCAAGGCCTTATCACAAGTAAGAACCGTCGGCACCAAGTGCCGAGGGTAGACTATACTATCACCTACAACATGGAAGAAAACACCAAATTTTTTTACCGAATACCCCTCGGTACCAAGTGCCGGGGCATACACTACTATCAACTTTCAACAAACGGAAGAAAACACCGAGTGTTTCCTTTGAAGACCCTTCGGTACCAAGTGCCGAGGGAAGACACCCCAATCACCTACAACAAATGAAGAAAAACACCAAATGTTTTTACAGAAGACCCCTCGGTACCAAGTGCCGGGGACTGTATACCGGAACAAACACCAAGTGTTGTTTCTAAAGCCGTACCCCTCGAGGACACATATACCGAAGGTGCCACCTATCGGTGCCGGTAGCACGTAGTGCCCTCGGCCATTTGCAACCAGTGTGCAAATGAAAACCCTTCCCTGAAACGCTTTCCACGTCACTACCCCAAGGGTATGACAGGTAAGTAATATGCTCAGGATTCGACTTTCAAAATCGAAACGCTCCCCGCGCCACTACCCCAAGGGTGTGGCAGGCCACGGACTATGTCTGGCGCCGAGGGGACGACTTTCAAAACTGAGGCGCTTTCCGTGCCATCTCCCAAGGGGAGGCAGGCTACAGACCATGTCTTGTGCCCAGGAATCGACCCTCGATCCCCTCGGAACTCGGAAGTTTAACCCGAGGGGGGAGCTAATTGTGTATTCTATTACCTCCCGATAGGCCAAGCCTTACCGAGAAACCAAGTTTCTTGAAGCCTTCCCTTCACTACAAAAAAAATGGGGTGGTGAAGGGGAGTAGACTCAGCGAGAAATCAATGAGTACACCACTCCAACAATTCACAACAGAACGCCCTTCGGCATTACAAGACAATACATACCGAGGGCCCCCCACGGGAACACCTCCGGTACCTAGAAGCTCCTGATTACCAAAGATAATAATCAACAAGTACCATCAAAAAATGGCTATGTCCACTTTTTGATTGCCTCCGGCTACATCAAAACCGAAGGCTCAAATCCTACAGAATTTGATAGGTTCACTCAACAACAATTCAAAAACGTCCCTGAAGGCTACTATACAACAAATGCTATCAAATATTGGCCAAGTCCAAGCAAGAATTACCTCCGACACCTCACTAGACGCCGAGGGGATACACCCAGGCATTGCCCGAGGGAGTCTGTCTTTTTCATGCTGCACTTGGACTACAAAATTTCCTAAGTCAACACTGTGGAAACATGACAAGGGCCGAAGGCTCCTATGATCAACAAAGATCGAAGGCAACTACTACTACTCACCGAGGGCCAGTCTCACAGGCCGAGGAATTTTTCCAAGTCTACAAAGTTGGGTGCCCTCGGGACTACCACATAATCGAGGGGGGTGCCACCTAAAAATCCACATACCGAAGGCCAGATGATACTCAAACACTTTGAAAAATTTCTAAGCCCTTAATGCTTTGCCTCCGGTCTTCTCACGAAGGCTACACAGAATCAGAGGGAAGGAATTAGCCGAGAACAAGTGACGAACAACACTTAAAAAAAACTTCTAAGTCCTGAACACTTGGCCCTCGGTGACATATTCAGATGGCTAAAGGGACCTGGTAACCGAAGGCTACGGGATGCACTATACTTAGAAAAATATTTCCTAAGTCCTAAAAGTTGGCTCTTCGGCCAAATTACCGTACACGCATACATTCATACACAAAGGAAGGAAAAGACGAAGGCATACATTTAATGGGAAAAACAGATTCATATACAAAAGCCCGAAGGCAGACATTCATTCATTAAAAGGAAAGAAGGGTTAAAATGTCTATTACAGGAGTGCCAATGCCGAAAGCAAACAAATGTTCATCACAAAAGCTGTTCTTTTAAATTTACTAAGTACAAAATGACTCAGCATTTTCTTCCTCAACAGGCTTCGAGGTGACTTCTACTCCAGCCTCCTCACCGTCGCCCTCGGCCTCCTTCGTCAGCTCTGTATCTTCTAGGTCTGGCCTTTCGACATCCGGAGGGAGGGGAACACGAACGTCTGGCTGTAGGAGAGGGAGGCCATATGCTGCCGGGTCGAAATCCTTCGGCTCGATTTTCAAATGATGGGCCATCCTCCGGTAGATGAGGGCCTGAGTAAAAAACTCACCCCCATCATAGTATTGCTTGCCCTTTCGGGACACCCACTCTACGCTTGGCCCGTCACACCACTCGTCAACTGAGGACTCCACAACCAAGCACAGCCATTGCTTGTGCCCCTCGGCTTTCCACCCCTCTGCCAGGAATCCGGAGATGGCCTCCTCCCGTGCCTTGGCAACGGCTTCCGCCTTGGCGGCCTCAGCCTCCTTGGCGGCCTTCTCGATGGCTTCAACTCTGGACCTCTCAGCCTCAGCCTTGCCCCGATCAGCTACCTCCACTCGCAGCGTCATATGCCGAAGGCTCTCCTCTAGCGCGGCCATTTGCCTGATGGAATCAGATTTCTGATGAACGAGTTCCTTCATCTTCGCGTCCTGCTCAGCCTTGTGCAGGCGCCAGTCCTCTCGCCTCCGGGCCTGCTCGCTGAGGGCAATGCAAGCCTGTAAGACACAAAGGAGTTAGGAAAGCTATGCAATATATCCTAACGCAAGGCAGAATGATACCAATGAAGAAACTTACAGTGAGGGAAGACCGGAGGATCTTGTCCTCGAGTGCCACGTCATCATCTTCCCCGAGGACGGCTCTGTCAATCTCAGGGGTCATGCCCCTCAGGAGCACCCTCGGATCCACCGTGCAGTTCATCACGGCTGTTCCCCTCGGGAGAGAAACCTGCAGAACCTCGGAGGGTAGCTCCCCAATACCCATCAACATTTCAGCCGTCGGCATCTCCACGTGCGTCCCGGAGGCGGAGTGCTCATCTACAATCACCACGGGAGGATCCTTGTTCCCGGTATCTCCCTTTTTGGGCTTCTTCCCCTCGGGAGCCTTGCCCGCGGCCTTCCTCTTCGCGGCGGCGGCATCAGCAGTAGGGACCGTCGACGGGCCCTCGGACTTCTTGAAGAAATCACCGGCGGGCTTCTGGGTGCCCGCATCCATCCCTTTCGGAATTTTGGAGGACATCTTCTTCAAACCAGCGAGCCCCTTGACATTCATCTTGGATACCGGGATACCTGCAAAACAATAAGGGGTTAGGCCAACAGGTCATCAATAAAAGAATAATGACATGAAAGTACAAAAAGAGAATAAAAAGTGTATGCTAAGTACGAAAATAAAGATGCCCTCAGCTGCTACCTCCTAAACCCCCAGAGGCTCCATCAAGCATCGGGTACTTTTCATCTGTTTCCCACAGGAAACGATACCGCCGGAACCCGAGGGTATACAGATCCTCCTCCAGGGTGCACTCCTTGATGGTTATATTCTTGTTTCGACCCTCCGGGATCTTAGCCAGGATCCTGCCATCCTTCTCGAGGGCGGCGCTCCTCGCCTTCTCATGCCGCCTAAACCGGTCGCGTAGCTCCCTCGGGAAAGGGCTCTGAGCTAGCCCGACGTAGCACCATCGCTCCTTCAAGCCTTTGTTTGAGGAGGGCGCCTCAGTGAATAACTTGAACAGAGCCACCTGCTGCAGGTTCGCGAAGCCCTCGGCATTCGCATGCCCCCCGGCACAAGTTGAAACTTTGGAAAAATAAGTCCAAGCTAGGTGTTACCCCCCGGGACTTACAGAGATGGAGGAACCCAGTGATGTACGAGTGGCTATTTGGCGTGAGCTGACAGGGAAGTAGTCCTACGTACCGAAGGTACTCACGCAGAAAAGGGTGCAGAGGGAATCAGAGGCCCATGGACACCGAGAGAATGTGAACGGCTATACATCCCTCGGGGGCTCGGGAGAGGACATCATAAGGTCCTGGTGGCACTACCGTCGCCGAGGGCCCCACATGAAGCTGGGTAACATAGAAGTCCGCCCCATCAGTGTTCGACCTTATCTCGAGGGCGGTGGTATTCAGGAAGGAGTAACCCTCAAGCATATCGACGGGTTTCCCTTGGTCAGCAACGCTGCCTTTCTTCTTGGAAGCGGCAACCTTCGTCTTCTTTTTCCCGGGGGCCACCCGGAGAGGGGCCGGGTTCAATGGCCGAGAGATGCTGGCTCCACCGGTGTCGCGAGGGGGAAGAACAGCGACGGTGACCCTCATGCTCTCTCTCTCTGCGCCTCTTCCTCGGCCACTTGCCAGGCGAGAGCTAGCTCTTCATCCTCGCACTCTTGTTCGAACCCTTCGGCTTCCGCCTCGGCAACGAGGGCTCTCTGCAACTCCATCGCTACGGCGGCATCATGCCCCACCGAGGGCTGTTCACTTGTGGACTCCACATCGGAGACGGTTTCATCCTCGACCGAAGGCTCCCTCGAAATGCCTTGTGAATCACTCTGGGACGACATTTTGGTATACTACGAAAACGGGACTCTACACCGAGGGCTGTCTACAGGATTCAAACCCCAAATCTAAGGCCAACAAGCACAGCTAACTAAGAAAGGTGAAGAACGGGTGGGGAACTGACCTTGGAACAAGAATTGGATCGAAGGCAGGTGTTTCTCTGTCTAGAAATCAAATGGCCAGAGCTTCGCTACAAATGAGATCGCACAGGGGTCAGAGCTCAGACTTTGGGATATTTATAGGCATCCAAATCCGTGCCTGGGCCGGAAATTGGGCCCCCGGTGGAAAAGCCATCATAACAAACCGACGAGCTGCCCAATCAGTGACGCCCGCCCAGAGACAGCCAACGAACGCACGCCACGTGAAGGCCCCCTCCAACGGCTATATTTCCGACATTACATCTTCCAACAGCTCTATTACAACGGCTATATTCTGGGAACCCGGGCTGTCTCCTTCACTCCATTTCATCAAGAGGAGCCCCCGGGTACACTTGCCCAGAAGTGCTCCCGGCCAATGCCCCTCATAATACATCACAAGTGCCTTCGGGCTCACTCCTTCAGAAGCCCACTGCTTCACAACGGGCACACCCCTCGGGAAGACCCAGCCCTCAAACACATTAAGGGCCACGTAACCCCCGGGGAGCACACCTTCATCAACAGTTACCCCCGGCTACGCAACAAGGAAACCCCCCGGGGTACCACGACCCTCAACTTATCATCTACATTTATCACGCCCTCATTCTCACGAGTTGAGGGCTCCCCTTCGGCATCTCCCAGGATAACAACGGCGAGCCTTCGACAAAACAACACACACGCCCACAGACAAGTGTAGCCTTCGGTAAGAACACTGCCACACGTTTCAGACCAGGGTTTCACCTTTTCGATTTATCATTGGGGGAATCCGGTGCACTCTTTTTCCCTCGTTAGAATTTTTTCCCACAGGGTTCTTTCTAATGAGGTTTTTAACGAGGCATCCCCCCAAAATGAAACGAAAAGCGTCACCCTCCGGCTCCGCATTACAGGCAAGCACTACTCTACTCCTTTTCACCACTTTACAAGTGCCTCAAGAAGCGGGGGACTGGAGGACCCCTTCGGGAAAAATCTCAAAATACAAAAAATATCAAAAAAATCCCACAACAACAAACATGATCCCTCAAGTCCCGAAATATGGGTAACTGAGGGACTGCCCTCGGCTGAAACATGCACACAACGAACTACTCACAAACTTTACAAACTACAACGGAACAACACCAAAGGGCAAACACAAATTACTCCTTTTCCCTCAAGTACCTTTCGGCAAAAGGAGTGAGGGACTCCTGATGGAGTATATGGCCCAGGAACCCCCAGCCCATAGACTCCTACTATTCTAATGGAGGCCCAATAGGCCCAGGAAGCATAGCAGGCCAAAATCACAGCGCCCCAAGTACTGAGCAACCCACGTGGCACACTGGGGGTGCCTTCGCCCCCCTGGCCGAAGGCCCCAAATTCTCACAGGATGGCCAACTCAAGCAAACAAAGTTACTGGGAGAAAACGGCGAAAATCAGCAGCCCTCGGCTAATCATCTGCAGTCGAGGGCACCTTTCTCGACAGAATATCCTCTCCACATGCGCCTGAATCACCGTACCAAGTACGGCGTCACATCCAACAGCCGCATTTAATGCGGCCACATGCGACTGCCAGTGCCAACCAGTTAATGTGACCCCTCGGCCATTGGATGCTCAACACGTGTCCCTATCTGGCATTTATTACTACTATAAATAGCGCCCCTTTTCCCCATTTGTAATCCAAGCCAAAAATCGCTCACTACATTCTCAGCAATATACTCTCTCTCTCTCTCTCTCTTACTTTTGCTCTGACTTCTCTCTAGTTACTCCCCGCGGTAACCCTTCGGATACATACCCCCGGGTAGACTATCCATCAGGCCCGTTCTTTGTAAAGTTTGGAGTTATAAAAAGCTTGCGCTCTCCACTCTTCCAGTTCATTCAGCTGGTAAAATCGTTCCTTCCCTGCAGCATCAAGTTTAAAACACACATTTTTCATCGCCTAAAGTGCTTTATGTTCGAGTTCAACGGGTAAGGGGAAAGACTTCCCGTATACAAGGTGAAAAGGTGTGGTTCCGATCGGGGTTTTGTACGCAGTCCGAAATGCCCAAAGTGCGTCGTCAAGTTTAGTCGACCAGTCTTTCCTGGTCTAGGCAACAGTTTTCTCTAAAATGGACTTCAAATCAATGTTAGCGTTCTCAACCTGCCCCTGAGTCTGGGGGTGGTACGCTACTCCACTCCGATGCTGTACTCCTTATTTGTCCAAAATTCTGGCCATTGGATCATTGTGGAAATGAGTCCCTCTGTCACTGATCAAAACCCTAGGCACACCAAATCTAGTAAACAACTTTTTCAGAAAATTCACGACTACTCGAAAGTCGTTGGTGACGCAGACCTGGGCTTCAGCCCACTTAGAAACATAATCAATGGCCACAAGGATGTATTTGTTCCCTCTTGAGCCGGGAAAAGGTCCAACAAAGTCGATGCCCCAAACATCAAATACCTCACAAGGTAAGATAAAGTGTTGGGGCATCTCATTGCGCCCAGAAATATTCCCAATTCGCTGACAGTTATCACAAGTGGAAACAAATACATTAGCATCTTTAAAGATTTTGGGCCAGAAGTACCCACAGTCCTGAACCCGTATGGCAGTTCTATTCCCTGAAAAGTGGCCCCCAGTAGGACCGTTGTGACAATGCTTCAGTGTGTCTCTTCCCTCAGCTTCAGTAACACATCTTCTCACCACCTGGTCAACACAAAATCGGAATAGATATAGATCATCCCAAAAATAGTGCTTTGCTTCTGACAGGAACCGCCTCTTCATGTGCATTTTTAGGTCGGTAGGCTCGACGTTACCAACAAGGTAGTTAGCAATGTCTGCATACCATGGTGTTTGTTCATTGGCGGATATTGCCATCAACCTCTCCGCAGGAAAAAGTTCCTCCACTTCGCATTTTCCAAAGGTTTCTGCTAATTCGACATCTAACCTCGAAAGGTGATCACCTGCCTGATTAGCAGACCCTTTCCGGTCCCTGATTTCAATATCAAATTCCTGCAACAAAAGAACCCAGCGTAACAGTCTAGGCTTAACATCATGCTTTTGGAGGAGATATCTAATGGCCGAATGATCAGTATAGATAATAACCTTCGAAATAATGATGTAAGTCCTAAACTTCTCTAAAGCACAAACAATAGCAAGGAATTCTTTTTCAGTGGTGGTGTAGTTCAATTGTGGCCCTGACAGAGTTTTGCTAGCGTAGTAGATTGGGTGGAAGTTCTTGTCCTTCCTTTGGCCGAGAATGGCCCCCCACTACTAAGTCACTAGCGTCACACATGAGTTCAAAAGGTAAACTCCAATCCGGGGCCACAAGTACTGGAGCATTGATCAGTTGTGTTTTAAGTGTTTGGAAAGCTTGGTGACATTCATCGGAGAATATAAAAACCGCATCTTTTTCAAGTAACGGGTGAGAGGTTTTGCGATTTTAGAGAAATCATTTATAAAACGACGATAAAAGCCTGCATGTCCCAAGAAACTGCGGATGGCTTTTACCGTGTTGGTGGAGGAAGTTTCTCTATCGTTTCAATTTTCGCACGGTCAACTTCGACCCCGTTACTTGACACTTTGTGTCCAAGAACTATACCCTCTTTCACAAGGAAGTGACATTTTTCCTAACTTAAGGCTAAGTGGGTTTCCTTGCAGCGGATAA